TGGCACTTTCGGGGGGATTTAAACATCCCCCCGAATTTTTTTCCAACTTTTAGCATTTTTGTGCACACATGGGGACTGGCCCACGTGTGCACAAACCTCCCCCTCCCCCCCAAGTGCCCCCGGAGCGCGGATTTAGCGATCCACACTCACGGGGGCAACTTCGCTATTAGTATATAGATTAGACTTATATGCTGTTCCATTCCTTGCCAAGCAGGGCTCAGGGCGGCTACCATTAATCAAAATACAATAAATTTGACATTAAAGTTTTAAAATCCACATGATTATAATTTAAAACCTAAAACTTCTTTACTGCATCAGATGGTCCCCTACTGTCCATTACAGGTGGAACAGCTGGGGGGGGGGGAAATCTGGCACAAAAAAGAAGGAAAGAGAGAGGGGAGGAGAAGGGAGGTCAGCAGATCTCTCTAACCGTCACTGTCCTCAGCCATATGCCCAGTGGAATATCTCAGTCTTACAGGCCCTGCGGAACTGAGCCAAGACCCACAGGGCCTGAGTCTCACTAGACAGAGAGTTCCACCAGGTTGGAGCCAGGGCTGAAAAGGTTCTGCCCCTGGTCAAGGACAGCTGGACTGTTCTGGGGTTAGGGATCACTAATAAGTTGTTTCCAGAGGAGCGTAAGTCTCTCTGAGTGGTATATAGGGAGAGGCAGTCCTGCAGATATGATGGTCCCAGACTGTTTAGGGTTTTAAAGGTAAGAACCAGAACCTTGAACCTGATTCAGTACTCAATTTGGAGCCAGTGCAGTTGATAGAGCACAGGTTGTATATGGACCCGTGTGTGTGTGTGTGTGTGTGTGTGTGTGTGTGTATATAAAGGACCTATGCTGCCATTTTCTGGACCAGTTGAAGCTTTCAGAGCAAGTTCAAGGGCAGCCCTGCATAGAGCGAGTTATAGTAGTCTAAGCTAGAGGTGACCGTTGCATGGATCATTGTGACCATGTTACCTGCATGAGTCAGGTAAGGGGTCAGTTGCTGGGCTTGGTGAGAGATGTAAAAGTCTATAGAAAACCCACTGATGTAAATTCATACTTAGCCATGGACAGTTCTCACCCTGCCCATATTAAGAAGAATCTACCTTACTCACAATTTTTAAGACTGAGAAGGAACTGCAGTGAGACAGATGACTTTAAGAGACAGGCAGGGATCTTAATGAATCAACTTGCTGATAGGGGCTACACATATAGAAACCTAAAGAGAGCATACTACAGAGCTTACAATACACCAAGAACATCTTTACTCACACCCAGATCTCAAAATCAAAGAGTAGATAGGATGATTATACCTCTTACCTACAATAGCATATTTACATCAGTGAAGACTAT